TTGCACATAAGTGTAACTTATTGAACATTCCTATCATAGCCCTATGCAGGAAGTTTGTCACCATGGACCTTGTTAAAAGCTTAGCTTGGCACAATTTTCCTATAGCTCTGTGGTAGAGCATTCGAAGTACTCATGAGAAGGTCATAGCTTTGACTCTTGTTGGGAAAACTCAGATTTTCCTCAACGTATGCCAGTGTGACATTCACAGAACATCTTCTTTCAAGATCCACTTTATTCACACAAAACTCATTTCTACTTTTATCTATATGATGAATTTATAACAACAAATGATATAACAATAAAAATGTTTTGCATAACAATGAATACCTGATCACATTTTTTTATGTATTTCTGTTAAGAATGCTTCACCAGATGTCTGCAAAGTTCTAGTGGGTAACAAACTGGATGCTGAAGATGAAAGAGTCATAGAGACCAGCAGGGGAAAATCAGTAAGATGAACAATGAAACTTAGGCCTTACTTAGATGGTCTTGGGTACCTGAGAACCCCCCCATCCCTTCTTAAAGACAACTTTACAGAGAACTTATATGGAGTCATGAGTTGTGGCAGCTCTCTCCCTCCACCATTCTCTATTGTTACAGTTAGGCAAGTTTTATATTTGACTGTCTCATCTGGGGCAGGTGAGCCTAGCCCAGGTGTTTATATGAGAAAAAATTGGCTTTTTTGGATTTTGGTGCCATTTCCTGGGTCAGACTTTTCAACAACCTGAAAGAAAGTCATCATCAGAGTCAAGGGAGGAGTTTGTTGTCATTTGAGTGTTTTAAAATTATTAAAATAATTTTTGTTCATGAAACAGATAACCAGTCTTCCTGTGGTCCAGACCTCTGTGATGCAAAAGCAAATTTTTGTTGAATCCTGAAATAATAAAAACGTAATCACCAAATAAAAAGATGGGATAATTCTAGGTTGAACTAATAATCAGAGGAAGTTACTGCATGAGATCTACACAGCCACTGGCTATCCCCTGATGAATAATTTTACCTATGGCATTTTTGGTTTATACATTTTGTAAGTCAAATTAAAGGGATGAAAAATGTTTTTTTCAGGAGACTGAAGGCCATGAACTAGAATTTTTTGAAACCAGCGCACGGACAGGGCAAGGTGTTACAGAGGTGAGAATAAATTTGAGAATATACTTATTTATTTTCTTGAAACGTTTCGTTTCCTTTTATACCCTCGCCATTAGTGGCAAAGTGAGCATCCTCTAGGTTCCTATTTTCAGAGGAACCGTGGGAAAAAGTATGGGGAAAAAAAAAACTTTATTCAGTTTTGGATATGAAAGTGATGTTACAACACTCTTTCAACCCAAAAACGATTATGTCCACAAAGGCTAACAGGCAAGAAGTTAGTGTAAGATCTACCTGCGTCCCTGTTTAGTTCCTTTGAATCATATTGCAACTTTTTTCTGTTATAATATTTTTTTTCTGTTGCTACCTTAAGATCTCTTCCAAACAAACTAACTCTTTCTAAGGCGTGATCCACTCGCCAACACCGGAAATTCATGGAAGGACAACGGAAACGAAACTTCAAAGGATACACGAAAAGCCTCCAAATGCATTTAGCGCATGGAGGTTAAATATTTGTCTCGTAGTTTTATTCGTTTTAGTTTTGGAGAAGCCTATTCAAGGCGCTCCTTTCGAAAACATGGAGCGGAATAATTAACGGCGCCTGCTCGGCGCCTGATCATTAGCAGAATGAAACCGAGGGAGATCTCGGACGGGTCACCCGACCCAAGCCTCCTTCGTTTTTTCACTACTCCGCCACCATCGCGCCGTTTTACTATCACGCTTCGTTTTACTAATTGAACGCCTAGAACAGGCTAGTTTTTAAACTGAAAGGACGTCGACGGTTGTTTTCATTTTAGGCGTTTATGGCAGTAGCAAGACAGATTAAAGTATCAAGAGAAAGACGGGTTAGTAGTGATTACAATTTATGAATTACGTGTGGTGTGAGACGCATAGGGTCAGTGCGCTGGTCCCCGGGGCAAGAGGCCGGGTTTCGAGACCTGACCGATTGATTTTACTGTGTCAGCAGGACAGTACCCATTTCTCAGAATGAGTGAATGTACTTAGGTGTACGACAGTATGGCAAAATGGCTTCGTAAGGTCGTTCGAATTGGCGTTTTTATTTTGAAATAGCAATTGATTCTCTGATGGATCGTTTCTAACCAAAGTTTCGTTTGTTCCTTGAATATGCGTGAAAATGGTATCAAAAGTGCCCCAACAAGCTGTGATCCTTTTTTTTTTTTTACAAATTTATGATTACTATGATTTTTAGCTGTTTGTGCCTGAAACTTTAATTCAATTAGAGCTGTACTTGATATTGAGAAATTCGTACCGTGTGATCAGAGCTAAAAAAGCGATTTCAACTTTTGAGAAATAATTGGGCATATTTCTTTCTTTCCTGTTTTTTCTGTCTTTGTTTCTTTTCTTCCATTTTGAAGAGAGAAAGGAGAGAGGTCTCCAAGGGGTCTGCCACTAATAATAGATTATACTCGTCTCAAGTCTTAGTGTGGGCAGAGAAACGCGTGTCTTACAGCGCTAATAGGAGCCTGTTTTGTTATCGATCTATCAAAGAAGTTGCATTTTGAGCTTTCTAAAATTACTTTTGTCACTTCTTGCTTTCTAGAATGCCATGCCCACCACCCAAGATGGATTTAACCCTGGGATTGGATCAGAAGAACCTGAAAATTCTCAGCCCGGCGCTTGCTGCAGTTCATGAATTGAAAAACTTGTTATTAAGGCTATTGAATGGACGCCGAGATATGTTTAAATTACTCTGTGGAATTGAATGTTGCGGTTAAACTTGCTAAATTATCGTCTATAGTCACTGGTTTATCGCTTCTGGTGAAGAGCTATGTATTGCAAGTAATGATAGGTCTCGTTTACTGACTGAAGATTTTGTATGAGAATTATAAAGTTTTAACCCAATTTTCTTTACTGATTATCTTAAAACTGCAACCAAAGGAATGCTATGTGCTCCCCTGAACAAACGGATTTATCAAGAACCAAGAAGAATTCAGTTTAGATGTAAATAAACCGTCTCGAGGCGGGGATAATGCGACTCACAAAGTAACGTGGTAGACCCACCACAACTTTCGTATGAAGCAAAACCAAAGAGATCCCGTATCACTTGAAAATTTCCATCGATAACGTTATTAACGGCGTTTTATAGGGATAGTTTCGCAAGGCTTGGTAGAATGGAACTGTGTCGTTTCGTCTGCGTCCTGGACAATTTTGACATCAACAAATTACATTTTCAACAATAATGATGAGAATTGAAGTCAATCTTCTTACCCTTTAAGATTCGACTCCAGGGGTTCATCTGTTTCTATAGTCCGTTAGCTTCAAGTTTCGAGACATAAAAATCCTTATTAGTCAATAATGTGAAATCTAGCCTTATGATCGTGGTCGACATTTTGGATCACACAAGATGTCAATTATACATAATGTAAAGCTTAAGTCTTGCCAACACATAAGATATTTGTAGGGTTTGTAAATTTTGTAACCTGCTGTCAATTGACTGTTAAAAAACCAAAACCAATGTAAACACAAAAGCAAATATAATCATAACAAAGGTTTGCGCCATCATTAGCCAATAAGGATCCAAAGTGAAACAGCAAACTACTAAAAGCGCGGGAAAACACAGGCGACCAAGTAACGATTGGTTTTGTTGTGTCTGATTAGTTTTAAGGCATAGCGCGAGTTTTCGAGACCAATCACAGACGTAAAGAAGTAAAGGAAAACCAAACAAATCCCGGATTCCTTTCGACACTCAATTGAAACTGATTACTCTAATAATACAACCAGCAAGTCATCACTCCCAATTTTAATTTCAGACTCACTGAAGAGCATTTTCGAAAGTTTGTCTCTCAATAGATGAATTTACAGTTTCAACGCAAGTGACATAATGGTACACATCCCTAATAGCTGTACTTAGTAAAGCAAGGCTCTGTAATTTGTATAGTTTTGTTCCCACATATGTATGCATTTAAGAATTAAACATCCTTGAACACCTGTATCCGGTCTGTTTTCATGTCACTCAAGGACTTTTTAATCGTTAAAAATGTCTTTTTTTTAACCCAGAAAAGTTGGAAATTTGTATACTCCGTCGTCCGTAGATTTAAATCTGGGCATGATTCAGCTAGTCTATTGATCGTAAAATCTAGCGAACGTTACTTGCTGCCTCACCTCACGTAATAACCAGTTGCATCATCTGGCCCAAAATTGTGCTCGCATACCTGCCCGCGTAAAAGATTTCTCCTGAGAAGCGAAGCTTTGGGAGAACTGTGCGCTTCGTCGTCTATATCCAGAGAAAAATTTCCGATTATATCTTCACGCAGGAGGAAGACTGTCATTTATCCTTCAAATCAATTTTGCAGCTCAAAGAAGAAAGGTAACGAACAGGTTAATGTAAAATGAGCCTGGTAGTTTTCTTCGTGTTAACTAAGTTGGAGTATCCTTTTGTACAGCGCTTTCACTTATACCATTAAATTTGAAATGAATACTAGCAAGGGAAATATCACATGAATGTGTTCAGAGCCAAATTACATTCGGTCAAGTGGCACTTTTAGACCCACAGCGTCCGAGCGACCAATTACAGATAAACAGTGCTAATCGTTTGTTCCTCGACGCGAGTTTCCAAAATAGAAGATTGCAGAAGAAGAGTAAACATCTGCGTCAAACCAAGGGTATTCCAGTCAAAAGTTAAATTTCACGCCCTTCAACAGGAACACGAAACCTTCCTTGCTAAATTTTACGTTCTGGTGTGTTTTGGATATTAAGGTCGTCAACAGTGTATGGCGACATACCACGGCTGCTGTCAATTCGCTAATCTCTCCCAATCACTGGAAAGTTTTTAATTAAACGTTCTTGTCTCAGTACGGCCTCTCAAATGGAAGTCCTCAGACAGCAAATCAGCGAGTGCAATCCGAGCGATGCGTTTGGGCCGACCATAAATCGATCACTCAGTCTGCTAAGAGTAGTTGTCCAAAGTAACTGTCCAGACATAACAAGGAACTTTATTGAATAAATTTATTAATACTGGATAAGCATAAAACTATGTAAAGACTTTGGCTAAACCTTGCAAGTGTGTTTTGGGTATACACCGCTGAGTACATTCACGTTTGGAAACTCGACATCTTAAACACTTCTCATGAAAACGGTGCGGGTAAAACACATTGAAATATCTTATTTATAGCGCTAAAAATAGATTGTAATAAAACCGTTTTTTTTTAAGCCATCAATAAGAATAAAGCATTTGGAAAGAAAGTTTCAGATTCTTCTTTGCATTTGCTATACAGTAAACATCATCGAAGGAAAACTGCTCAAGGGAATGCCTCATGTATACCCTAATGGTTTTCCTTATGAGTGCGAATTTGGAACTCGTTGGAATGATACTATGCTACTTTGCTCAGCTTGCACAGTTATTAATCAAATGAACGATTGTAAACAAGGCGTTACAATTAGTGTTCTTCGTAGCTCGTTGAAGTTCCAGTTGAGCCGCGGGCGACTTCCTCTCAAACAATGTGCTTGAGGACACTTTTACGCCTCGTTAGTTTCGCGTCTCTCTGTTTTCGTGACAATCCGTTTCAACAACATACCTTGTTGCCGTTTTGCAAACATGTAATGTTTCTCAACGCCGGCCTAGGCAATCCGTTGATGCTAGATAAAGCGTCACATTTGTGACTTTCGTTGCCGTATTCCAATAAATTCCTTTTTGTAGTGGTACTGTCGCAACTAATTCCTCGTTTGTATGGCGAGCTAATTCCTCCCAACGTGGATAAAACTTTTGAGCAGTGGTTGGCAACAGAATTAGATTGATGGACGTCACTTAACGGAGTGGAACTACGTCGCTTGGATGATTTTCCACCATGAATCTTAAATAGACTATGACCCGTCGTTACATTAAGAAAGGACTCAGATGAATCGAGACTTCGATCGGCTGACATCGCATCTTTTAGATTGGATACGAAGCCATTTAGTTTCCTATCTGACCTTCTTTTGTGCCTCCAGGCCTTCTCACGTTCTTGCTGACGGTCGGGGCCCGCATTGGGTGCCTTTCTTTTAAAGCAAACACAATCTTGGTAGCAAAACGATTTCTTGTCAGTTTTAGCTGAACTTCCTATGGGTGCGTCGAGTTTTAATTGGCGACCTTTGGACGGTGATGGGATATCCTTTCGGTTATGGACCAGCATAACATGCTTAACACGATCATCACGACAAGAAAATTTCTTTGGGCAGTACTCACACGGAAAAGCCAAGTGAAGGGAATCCTTCCCTTTCGGTTGCGACCCGTTCGTAGAAGTTCTTCCATCTGATTTTTCTCCGAAATTTGGAATGGCAGATAAGACTCCCTCACAACTTTCATTTTTCTTTGCATGCATCTCATTCACATGCCTCCTACGTTCAGGTTTGGAGGAGAAGCGTTTCCCACATTGCCCACATCTGTGATGAAGAGTTAACTTGGAGCGTTTTTTCCTTCTACGAAGCAATTTTTTTGCTACTGTCACTGCTGTTGGCGTAGAATGTCGGCCACTGAGGGAAGCATTGCCTTTTTCAGCATTTCTAACAGTTTTTGGCGCTGTGATTAGTAATGGAGTCTTTGTTACTCTAGCCACTTGACGACTAGTCCCTTTGAAGCTACAATTTCCTTCCAACTTACACACGCGGCCCCGACTGGACCTCCTTTTCCTACTGTGTTTAGTATCGACATGCCTGGTAAAACCAGTGGCACTCCGGAATTTTTTACCACAGTCCTCACATTTCCAAGGAGCAAAATTTGTCGATACGCGCTGAATAGAATTGTTGTTGGAATCACTTGAAATTTGGCTACATAGGGGTTTCTTGGAAGTGTGGCTTTTCGATGAAAAGCCATTTTGGTGTGCAATCACCATATGCTTGTAGAAGCTGTTAATTGTAGAGAAACCTTTACGGCAGTACAAGCACTTAAATGCCCTTACAGCATTCCCGGTTGAAAGAGTCGTTGAACGATGTGGACGATCTCTTCTCTCTTTCATTTCCGTACTGGCGCTCATTTGGCTCAGCAATTCTTCATTACAACTTATGCAATGAAGACTTTTGTTTGTAGAGTAGTTAATGTTACAAAGTCGACAAACGTTTGTTGACTCAGCCACGTTGCTATCACTTGATTCATAGCAGTTGATCTTATCTGGCTTAATTCTTTGGTCAGGAACACGTACCTTTTTTCCGTGTTTGTTCTTGACATGTCTCCTTAAACCACTCTCAGTCTGAAGTTCTTTACTGCAGTACTGGCAACTCCAAAGACAAGTTTTGGTCTGCAAGTTTTGATTTCTAGTGTGGTTCTGGGCTTCGTTTCTTGTCTGGTTATCTAGGGGTTTAGGGAAACCAGTGGGATTCGATCCAAAGTCATCTCGGTGAACAACCATCAAATGTTTGTAGAGACTGTTGATTGTTGAACAACCCTCCTGACAGTAGAAGCAATGGAAAGCCCTCACTGTTCTCTTTTTGGATGGCATCGATAAATGATTTATATTTCTTTTCCGTCCAATGGACTGCACGTTCTTCTGAATATTACTGTTAACATGTGATTGCCTAGATTGTGGACTGATGGCTTCACCTTTCCTTTGCAATTTTCTACTGCAACGCATACAATACGATCGGTTGGCACTTTGAGCTGGACAGAATCTAACTTTGCAACTACGACACTGTTTTTTTCCCTTAACAGTGGTGGTTTTAAACTCATCTTTTCTCGCTGGCTTACATCCTTGATTAGGATCATACTTCTGCTTCGGGTGCTTGTTCTTCAGATGTTTACGCAAGCCACTGACACTTAGGTACTCTCTGCTGCAGAGCTGACACCTCCAGGTATCACTCGTAGCCTTCAATTCACTCTTACTGCTTTGGGCACAGAAACTGAAGTCAACGTGTAACTTCCGCATGTGTTTGAAGAGTCCACTGTACGTCGAGAAGTGCTTTGTACAACTAAGGCATTTGAATTTTGAAGAGCCGATTGTATTACTCTTCGACTGAAAAGTAGAACGGCTTCCGTGTTTATATAATACATGACGACTTAGACCCATACAAGTTCGGAAACTTTCGCCACAAAGCTTGCATTGATATGGACCGATCCGATGGGAACGTAATTTGTGACGCACCAGAGCCAACTTCGACGAAAACTCTCTTTGACAAAGTAAGCACACGCAAACATTCGTCATTCTGGTGTGTTCCCCCTTGCGTGGAGACGGGGAGTTGCTGGATTCAAATGACTGGATGCATGCGTCGCGTTCATGTTCCTTCTGTATATTGGTTTCAGCAACTGCTTTGATTTCATTTGAGGAAAGATTGGATGGAGAACTTTCGTTGTTGTTCTTTCGGAAGTGGTGTCCTCTATGATGACCCAGAATTTTCTTCGAATGAAATCCTTTTCCACACACTTCACAGCTAAACTGCTTCGGGGGGCTCACTGATGATACACTTTCCTTTGAACCTGGCACGAACTGAGAGCCAGATAAATCTCTGCTGGGCTGAGGATTCTTCTGCCGAACTTGCGACGAGGAAGTCGAGGGAAATGCACCACGCGATTTTCTTTGTTTTACAATTGATGACTTCAAACTCTTCTGAGATGGGCTGCGGCTGTGGTGGCCGGTATGGCTACCTAAGGCATTCACAGATTTAAATGACTTGTTGCAGATTCTACAAATAAAAGCTGAGCTTGCAGCACTTCTTAGGGAGGGCTTTTCTTCCGACGAAGAGCTTGAGAGGAGCTCACTAAAAGACTTATCTCCACTCTGAGAAGGACTGCGGCTGTGGTGAGCAGAGTGGGAACGCAAAGAAGTCGAAGTTTCAAATGACTTGTTACAGATTTTACAGCTGAAGGTTGCACTTCGACCAAGCTTGGGAGAAGAATTTTCATTCAACAACGGACTTGCAAGAACTTTCCTTCTACCAGACTTCTGATTGTCTAAAACCTTTTGCCGGTTATGATGACCCCTATGTGCTTTCAACGACTCGAGCGACACGAACTCTTTCAAGCAAATATCGCACTGATGTATCCCATTTGATGCTTTTCCTTTATTCTCGGAAACGTTCGGGTGTAATTTGGCACTGTTCTTCAATTTTCGATGTCTGGTGGCCACGTGTAAGGCCAAGCGACGTTTATCATTACAAACCTTTGAACATATACCGCACCTAGCAACCTTAAACGAAGGATGCTTCTCCCGCATGTGTTTCGAGTAGGTGAAGGTATAGAGAAACTTCGTCTTACAAATGTGACAATGGAATGTATCCCTAGCATGGCGCTTTTCAGAGGAACCTTTCGTGATATTTACATCTTTGTCAGACTTACATCCATCAACAGCTTTTTTCGGGTCCATCTTGGCATGATTATGAAGTACATGCTTCCGTAAGTCATGGCTAAACAAGAAATTTTTTCCGCATTCGGAACATGTGCAGGGTCCTAAAGGTTTGTGCAGAGCTTCATGTCTAACCAAATTTCCCTCCTTCTTGAAAGCCTTACCACATGTTTTACAGATAAATTCTTTAGAATTGGAGTGCACCGTCTGTTTCCTGTGCCTCAGAAGATTAACCCATTGGGTAAAACGCTTCTGGCACTTCAAACACTCAAAGGTGCCATTAGACAAACGTTTCACTGCGTGAAATGTCCTTTCGTGCTGCCAGAGCCTGTTTTTATCGTCGAACACATTGGAACACAAGGTGCAACGGCAGTCTAGTGTAACTGCTGGGTGCATCTGTTTTTGATGCCTATTTTTCGATGATTTAAATGCGAACACCCTATCACAAACTCCACATGTGAACGGCTTCACCCCTTTATGGATGTACTTGTGAAAATGAAGACTTTTTTGATCTTTAAAACTTCTGTCGCAGTGTATGCACCGCCAGCGGTGGTGATCGTTGTTCAGTTGGCAACGGAATTTGTTGTGATTGGCAAAGGAAACAGGCCCAGAACACACCATAAAACACTTTTGGCACTGTATTGGTCCATCTGTAAGAAAAGAAGTAATCATTAAAATCACGCTGCGAAAAATATTAGTCATGTTCTGTAAAAGAACAGGGTACTTGCCTTCCATTTTTCTTGTGGTATCTTTGTTTAAGATGGCCAAATCACATGCATACTTGTCTCCATACCACACCAAGAGCTCCATTCCTGGTTCTATTGTCTTAAAAGAACGATAATAGATTTCACCCCGGAACTGGAAGGCTACAAGATTCTGCTCATCTTCATTACGAGCACAATTGACAAAGCGTAGCCAGTTGCTGTGTTCTTCAGCGCGAGCATCAACAACATGAGTGACACGTCCATTTTCAATTATCTGAAAATAACGAAAACAGTTATGGTTAAGTAGAAAGGATAAAGTTTAGTTAGAGAGTGCGACACAAACTAACTCAAGAACACAACCCAGGTGACATACTGAGTACTCCTAATGCATGTCAAATTTCATGCAAGTGAAATGCAGGCGCATACGAGCTGTTCAAGGACGCTTCACAAGATGATTTCAATTTCTTTACTAACCTAACTCACTTACTCATATAAAGCCATCGTATCAACTCTCAGACCCTTCTTGGGTGATAGCATAACCCTGAGATTTTTTCAGTGGAGTTGTTTTGCACAATTACCATGCTAGTTTTGTCACGACATCGTTCCTTGCAATGCCCTTATTCCCTGTTTCATCGTCATTAAAGGCAACAACCAAAGTTGTAAACAATTTATTTTTGTCAGGGGCAAGAGTGTGGATGCTGTGAATAAGGCAATACTTCAACATTTTAAATTGCTTACATCCCACATATAGCTCTGATCGCTGTTTGGTGTTAAATCTGCCACATCAATCTTGTCACCCCAGTAGGGGCCGAACACAACATCTGCTTCGTATCTTTCTTTGGCAAACATCCCCAGACCAGCATCTAAAAACACAGAAATCAGAGATAAAGTTAATAAAGGGGAAAAGGTGGTAATGTTCTAAAGACTGTGGTCCTGTGTCTTTAAGGGGTAGTGCAAGAGACATGTAAGTTGGTTTTATCAGCTGAGTTGATAATAGTTGATAATGAGTCGGTGGAGGGCACTACAAAATAATTTCAGGTAATTTAGTGTTAACAACTGGGTTGAAAACGTAAATTAGCCACCGTAAAGGGCAAAAAAGCTGACGTTTCGAGCGTTAGCCCTTCGTCAGAGCGATTAGAGGAATTGTGGGTTATGTGTGGGTTTATATGCAGAAAGTGGACCTACTCCATTGGTGGGAATAGGGTGACGAGAAAACAGGAATAAATTAGTTGAATAAAAAGCGCTCGTTGATTCCGTGGGGATTAAGGGTGCCGATTTGGAATATAAATTTTTGTTCTAGTGTTTTACGGCTTTCCGAACTGCCTAGATGTAAGGAAAGGCCGCAAACTGCCATATGCTGTTTAGAATGATTACGAAGATTAAAGTGTCTGGCGACTGGTTTAGATGCGTCCTTGTCATTTCTTTCCACATCGCGAAGGTGTTCTCGGAATCGGTCACCCAGTCGTCTTCCTGTTTCGCCGATGTATAACTTATTGCAATAAGTGCAAGTTATGCAGTAAATAAAAATGGCGGAGGTACACGTAAAGTGATCAATGATCTTAATGGATCTTTTGGGTCCCGATATTTTCTCTACGTTATGAATGAAAGGACAAGTTTTGCATCGTGAGCGAGTGCATTTAAAAGTTCCAGATTGGTCATTGGTTTGAAATGAACTCCTGACTAAAAAGTTGCCTATGTTTTTGTCACGTTTGAATGAAATAAGTGGGGGTTTCGAAAAGATAGTGCCAGTCTCCGAATCGTTTTGGAGTAATTTAAAATTTTTAAGAATGATAGATTTAACTGCGTGGTTGTGAGGGTGAAATGTAAGAGTAAATGGAATGCGGTCAGTGTTTTCCTTCTCGGCCGTTTGTAGTGCTGTCGATCGATTTGGTGGGCACGGTGGTAGCCCGCTTGAACGACAGAAACAGGATAGCCACGTTTATCGAAAAACTGGCACATTACCTCTGATTTTTCGGAAAAATCAGAGTCATCACTACATAAACGACGAAGTCTGAGAAACTGTATGGAGTTCTTGACGTGTGATGGATGTGAAGATGAATACAACAAGTAACTATGTGAATCTGTAAGTTTGTAGTAAGAATGTTACAGATTCACATAGTTACTACCAGCATACAAAATCATTCTACCAAAGGAAAACACAAACACTACAAATTACTAATTGACTTAAAAAGAACCTATCAATATAGTTCAAAATTTGGCATGCCAATAACACAGTTTGTACACAAACCTTTCCTAACATTACCAAACCTTTTTTATTAAATTCATAGACATGCCCTGTAGCTTTTATCATTTCAGTTTTTTTAACAGATGAAAGATAACAGCTGGAAAAAATAACTCACCAGGAATACTCGAAATCTTCAAATCCATGCTACTTGGAATGGTTGACCTTGCCCTAGTCAACCCATCCCTTTCCATAACAGCTGTTGGTTCCTTTATCCATCTGAGGCCTCCATGAACTGGACAGTCACCAACACGCAGTTTGTCACAGTGATTACAAACTACAAAAACCACAAAACTATGTCAGTTAAAATGTTTGAGAAGTGGACAAATTCATGCACAACTATCCCAGATTCTACATAGAGACTGAAGGGAGAACATGGAACTATTTCTGTGTGATTCTTTTTCATCAATACCAATGTATCACTATCATAGTCAAAATTTTAGCAATTAAGTGGCTAAGAGTACCCCTGAATCTTTTTCCCTTCTGTTTCTTGAACAATAGATGCCAAAGAAGAAAACAACTTACAAATGTACTCATCTTCCTCTAGTTCAGGCCTTTTGTTGATACAATTTGTGGAAACCCGTAGTTTCTGAAATTGCAAGATGAAACTTCTCTAAATGTATAATTAGGATTTAAAATAAGAACAAATGAAAACATCAAAAGGAGCAAATGGAGACTAAATTTAAAAACAAAGAGACTACTTAAACTGCCTTGAATGTGATAAATAAAACTGCAATTGAGGGTAGCACAATCACAGAGTATAAAACCAACTTACAAAATTCTCATACAGTTGAACCTAGGAAGTCTAGGTGGTCACTTGACAGAGGTCAGGCCAAAGGTGGTCCACTTTTGAGGTAATTTGCATATGGTGACAGGACCCTTTTGCAAGCGCTTATTTAAAACCTATTGTGATGACTTTTAGTGGCATAATCAAGGAAAAAAATTTAGGATCTATGGTAATTGTTTTGCATTTCAGGAAACACTTCCAGGAGCTCCACTTTTAAGACATCTGTTGAAACAACTTTTGGTTTTTGCTGGCGAGCAAAACTTTTAGTATTTTGAAAAAGAGGTTGCTAATCAGAGGTAGTAGCAAAGGGAGTTTGACTGTATTTTTAAAATTATTTTGATAGCAAAGAAGGATTTCTTTGACACCATCTTTAAAGCTCTTGAAACTTTACAAAACTTTGTGAGATGCAATTTTTAAAGGGAATATTTTGCAGATGCTCCCAGTTTGGGAATTAAAGCCAGACCACAACAACTTTCACCTCCCCTGCTAACTAGTACAGAGAAGATGCAGGAGAAAAGGCCTACGCTTCATCATCCTTATCAGAGGAAACTACTACATATAATCATTTGCAGATTTTGTAGCAAAGGCAACACATTCTCAACAGCAATTTTTTAAGACACTGAGTGTTGGTCCAGTTTAGGGCTTGAATCCTCAATCTCCCAGATGGTAGTGGGGTGCAATAAAACCTGAGCTTTCCAGGCTTAAAATAACCCACAACAGTCAGAGGGTGAATTATAGTTGATAACTAATAGCTCTTACCTGCAAGGGAATAGAAAATTCTCTAAGTTTTGGGTTGTTTTGCTCAGCACCATCATTGGAGGTCACACCAGCTTCCTCAGCACCCTTGATATAAAATAACAGAAAAATTGTTTGAACTATTTTTACCTCTACCATAGATTAACAAACTTGAACAACATGTTTTGCATGTTACATATGTCAGTTTTACGAGCACACAGTGACATTTTCCAAAGTTGATATGCAAGTCAGATGTGGAATGGAAAAGTTACCAACTCTGCCACCTGCCATTATTAAGATTGTGATTGATCTTATCCTTTTCCAAATTCACATATTCTTGCATTTGTCCACCTTTGCTGCTTTTTGCCAGTGTAAATTGCATTTCAGTATAACTCTAGTTTTCAGAGCAAATACTGGTGTTTTCAGAAGGTTTTCATCTAATGGAATAGGGTGTGAGTAGTTAGCAAAAAATCATCCATCCTCAACTGCCAATACAACTATAAACAAGGAAATCCTAAAACATTTCTCTGACTTGCCCAGGAAAGGTTACTTGCCCAAGTGTGTTTTAATTCTGTATAAGCAATATCCTGCTACAGATAAGAATTTTGTATGGAGCAGGGCAGTTGATGCAGTACACCACACTTAGCAACTTGAAGAAGCCAATCTGGAGTAAATTAGACAAAGCTTATAGCTTAAAGCTTTGCACTTGGAATTGTGTGCACAAATTTTGTAACTAGAAGCCGGAGAGGGGTAACAAAAAAAGGCCCTTCTTGATAACAACCACAAAGAGGACTATGTGATCTGCCATACCATATGGAACTAGAGCCCTTGCTAAGAAAAGATATTTGCAACACTACTAAAGCTACCATAATGCATCAAAATTTGTTTTGATTGAATATATTTTTGACTTGATATACACAAGTATACAGGTGTTCAAAGTAATTATTTAAGTTCAGCAACTAATAGGTTACCTCACAAGAAATAATGTCCAAAGTTTGATCTTCATCCCCATTCACTGCCACTTGACCATCAGAATTGATCTGAAACACCTAAAAACAAAAACAAGAGAGAGTATTTCAGGACTTTAAAACCCTCATCACATCTATCTTTCATGGCCACCACAAAAAATCTAAAAACTGACTAACAATCCAACATGCAGATCCAGGAGCATAAACATCCATGACTGATATGAGGCATTCAACCAGGTGAATCCTCTTGGTTTTCTATCATGATATACTTACAGATATTGAACTTTTCTTAGGAAAAATAAAATCTTACCTCACTCACAACAGAATTAGTTTGAGTCTCAATGTCATTGTTAGCTTTGGGCTTCGTATCAAAAGTCATCTCCTGATCCTGTGAAATGTAGCAACAGTAGAACACCACTTTACCTGTTAATATCATTTCAATGTGCTATATATCATTTCAATTGCTAATTTGTTACCAAAAATTTCATAAAAAATGTTACCTCACACAAGACAATATCGATAATTATTTCTTCTTTTTCTTTTTCTTCACTATCATCTTGAAGTTTGATGATACTCTCTGTTTCAGAATCCTGAAAATTAAAGAAATGAAGCTTTAGGATTAAAATGGCTGGCTTGTTTCATAACTTTAACTACTCAATAAGTCAGGCTGTAGATGATTAGCTGCATGTAGAAGACAGTTGACAATTTGAGAGCTTCCCACTTGCCTATTGGGCAAGTGCCTTCACAACATATTTATTCTTGAAGTGTATGGGCTCTGAAATGCTATTTTATGCATTCCTTCAGACATACAGTATGTGCAGAGCTCAATGGCAGATGGTTGGCCTGGTAAACATGTGCCAGGTAGAGATTGGAAGAGTGCTCAAGTTGTCTGTTCCTGAAGGTCTTTGTAGCAGTGGCTTGTTTTGATCACTATTGCAGTTTACTGTTCACAACTTGAAGACACCCTCTTGTGAAAAGTAGGGGGCTAAGAAATCAAGGTAGCCAATTTTTAGCTAGCAATTAGCACTTAATGAGAACCCTGGGATCAGCTATGCTTCAAAAGCAAAACAATGAAAATTTTACCTTGCAGTGGGCAATCATTAATTCTTCTCCATTTTGTTCTTGAGGCTCTTCATGACTGCCTTCTTTGGCATTCTATCAGTTATGAAAAGGAATTTAAGGGTCAAATTAAGGTAGTTTTTTATCTTTTTCTCCCACGGGTTAAGCACCACATTGAATTTCTTTTTCAAAATTACCAATTTAAATAGCCTCTGAGTTTAATAATACCGGTAATTGAACTTTGATTATAGCAAAACAAAATTTTTCTTTAACTCCCAAGACCACACTAGTAATTCACCTTACTATCTGCCATATAGTTCTTGTGATGTTAGTTTGGAGAATTTGGTATTGGATCAACTAGTAATCTCCTAATTAATATTTTTCTTTATTCTCATCACTTGTCTGCTTGATATTGTATTGATATTGTAAGGAGAAATTCTGTCTTGGTCACTCATGGGAGTTAAAGGGTTAATCAACACAGTAGCAAAATTAATAAAGAAAAAAAACACTGACCTCTGTTGTGTCATGAACGATTTCTTTCTCAAACAGACAAGTCAACTTGGGTAGAACATCAGGTTCTTTCATCAACTGTCCTGTGCTAATATGCACAGGCATCTGTGAAAATATCAGAATAGTGTCAATTGAGCTTTTGAGAGGCCTTGCATCAGTAAATTTGGATAGGAAATACAGCTCTGAAAACTTATTTTTTAAGGTTTGACTACTCTAATATGACTCCTCTTTTCAGGGGACAAAGCTTTTCAACAAACACAAACTTTTATCCTAATGGAAAAGATATTTCTGTAAGTTTTGTGCTCAGCACATTCACCAAAAAGAAAACCTCTGTTAAGGGTAATTTTAAACCAGTACCAAGGGCATCTCCTTGATGCAGGATCCACTGAATAACTTAATTAATGGTAATGAATTACGGTCCAACCTTCACCACCAGACACCTTTCCACAGTGGCAGCCCCCAAAGAGCTACTTTTTTGTCCCTACATATGGTTGATAAGTTCTGTATTGTTATTTGTTTAAAATTCTCTACAGGGACAACCCTTGCTCAACAACAGGGGCAAATCCGAAAATAGCATAACTACAATAGTCACTAAATCACAAACCACCAAATGGCAAAGCAAAAAGCACAACATTTGCTAAGGTAGGTAAAACAACAAAATAATACGAAAGATGAAATGTAAGCAACACTAATAGCAAAAATTCGATTCAATTGGTAGACTCGTTGTAGCTTATGAGTTTTGTTTGGTTCAATTGTTTCTTTCTCAGAACACCAATATTTGGTTTACTTATTATTACTGGTGATGTATCTTGATTATTTTATTATGCATAACTATTAAATGTTAAAAATCTGGACTTGGGTTTGGTAAAAAACAATTGTAAAATCAAGAGAACAATTCGTTTACAGCCAACATTATTTGACACAATACCATGTCAAATATTCTACCAATAAGGAATAGCTTTGAAGTGTGTGTCTTAAAAATTAAAACTGAACTTGCTCCTCGTGATCAATAAAATTCACACATCTTGGCGATAAGAAAACTACATCAAAGCTGGAATTCATGTTCCTGTTAAAAAAAGTGGTATGTGTTGGTAGCATGAACACCTCCAGATATCCCCTCATAGTGGCTTCTGCAAGGATTTACCGACTCACAAAAACCAAGTGCATTGAATCAACGAGTTTGGACCCTCATTTCTCCGATTGTACTTTTAAAATTACCATAATAAAAGGAGCACTCCAAGCAAGTTAATACGATTTTTTATCTAGAAGGAAAATCATGACAAGAAGCTTGGAAAAAAGAGTCAAAAAAGAGTTATGAAAAAATGAAATAGCATAGGCCTTCCCTCCCCTCCCAGCCTGTAAAATGTTCGCTTCATCAATGCACAACCGGCACGAGATTGAAATAATTACATTCCTAAACCAAACAAACATGTCCAAGGCACTGATCTCTATATCAAGTCAGGAGCAAAGTAAAGCTCTACCTGCTAAGTTATCCTTTAAAATTCAAAGGCGACCCATACGCAGGAAACAAAAGACGTACAGGAAAGGTCAAATGCAGAGCATAGATTAAATTTGGTAGCTAGCTCCCCGTTCGATATTTGATATCGCGAGCTATTCACAGCCAGGATCAAATCAGCGAACAACGTGGCAAATTTTCGAAAACAAAAGCCAAGGGAAACACGGAGGGAAAGGAATAACTAATACCAGCTTTCGAGTTTCCAAACAAGCGAGCTTCAAATCTCCTATCACATGGAGTGATATTCCCGATCGCTCTCGTTTCGTGTATCGAAGATTTTGTAATCTACATGTTCATTTAATGACATATACTGAACGTAAAAAACGTGCGAATCAATCATTTGCGCTAAAAAAACGACTGGGAGACGTTTGGAATGAAGAAAAAAAGCGCTCACCTGGCTCAGAACATATGCCATCACACCATGTTGTCGGCAATCGAACAGGAATGATCTAAGACGGCGCGAAAGTACGCGCCGCTTCACTTTCCCAGAGTTCATTATTTCCCGCGCAATGAGCAGTCCTCCCGGTAACATAATTACGTCATTAGGGGATTTAGAATGTCATGCAACGTTAACCCGATTGAAAACAACAAGAACATGAAAAGCATTACAAATTTGTTACGGGTCTAATAAAGATGACGACCGGCAAGCTACATTGTAGGATACTGTAATGAGCCAGCGGAAAACGATTTGACTGAGAATTTCCTCGTTTTCTTGGAGTACCTCTACAGTAGCGATTGTGACCCATTTTCTCATGTCTATGGGACCTCTTTAATTCTCAGATTACATATCCCTGTCACGCTAACTACCTTTGATTTGATGAGAGTTGGAAGCGCTAGACTGGTCGTGAGGATACTGAAGATGGGGCTTTATACAAAGGCTACTCACTGGTAACCTAAAAAAAAGGTCTCACGAGGTTCTTGAGCTAATCATCCCAAAAATATTCTTTGTTTTTACTATTTCTTTCAGTAGTTTTGAAAAAAAGCCTCAAAGGCTTCGCTGAAACAAGCAGCTGTCTACAATTATCGGTTAAGTGAGGCGCGGAAAAGTTTGGTGACAGGGTTTTGACTTAAATTAACGGGGTTGCCACGGGTAAGCTTCCAAGTTCTCAAAGATAACTTAATCTAAAGAGCCGTGAGTCGCCAACCGTCAAACGTGAAAAAATCTCGGCCGCCAGAAATGGATCCAGGTTCCGTGACAACACGATTTCACCTCAAAACGTGGATGCAGAACTTCCGTCACGCCTCGCTCAATTGAAAATCGTGGCAAGAATAACTTAAATCCACAAGCTTTTCAGCGCTATGTAGATGGGAGGCACCAAAAGCAAAGTTTTCCGGGCTAATCTCATCTAATCCAAGCTCCCAGACTTTCCTTCGATGTGTCAGTAAATGAGGTTTCTTAATTCGTATTTTCCAAAACTATATTCTTGCGATCGAAATCAAAATTATAACACCAAAAGACTTGACATCTTTTTCTCCTTTCTCTACGAGAAATCTCAGGGCTCTTGACCCCCAAAAAAACCATATTTATAATTTGTTCGTTTCTTCAACAACGCAAATTAGAGTCCTTTTCTCTGACGCGTGTAGAGTTTACAGTAACTGTTCAAGCATAATCACATGGTACTTAGTATTTGCCAAACTGGACGACCTGAAGTAAATTCTCAATTGCTTTCCCCATTCTTCAGGAAATGTGAGGCTAGTGGTAAGCACTATTAGCCGGGTTCCTAGTCTCTAAGTGGGGTGTATAGCACAAAGGCCAGACATCGTTATGATACGTTTATTGCTGTGCAATGTATGTTTGAAAATAACTTAGGTTTTGAAACGAAGAACACATCGTAAAATGAGTCTAGAGCGAAACTGTCCATGGCCACCGACTGCAATTTTCCCTAGCCAAAAAGCAGTCGTGTTTTCTCTAGCACTGTTTCTCTCGACCAGTTCTCCTTGTTCTAGTTTCCCCAGTCGAGGGCTTTAACGAACTCTTCTTCTGAAAACTGGAGAAGTTTGGCCGCCTCAATGTGCATCTAGAAAGCAACCAAACGGATTAATTCTATCTAACGGACAGAAACCACAAGATATCTAAGGAATACATGCAGGTGGCAAAAGATGTGCAGTCTATCTCTTTCAGAATTGTAAGGTACTCAGAGGCGTGCATCCCTGTAAACAGCTGTAACTATAAGGAGAATAAAGGGTCCCCTTGTTTTAAGGGAAAAAAACTTCTTTGTCAACTAAGCACACGGACGTAGTACTTAGATGGAAAAGCACTTTAAATTTTGCGTTATGACTTACTCCAAATAAAGCTGATCGAGGAATAACTGAAACGTGGACACAAATGAAAAAGGGAGCAACGATGTTTAATTCCGAAAATGAACCAACCTTTTGTCGTTTAAGAACATCAATGAGCTTCATTTGCTTCTTAAAGCCAGCCATCAATTCGTTCTTCTGTTTCTCAAGGCGTTTGTTTTCGGCTAACAATTGATCGATGCGCTTCCTATCCTGTTCGCCAGAGTCCTGTATTTAGAGAGAATAACACAAAGAAATGAATAAAAACTTTCCACAAAGGAAGTAAGGGCGCGGATTTGGACATTTATACGTACTTATTGTGTGCTGAGTTAGTATCTCTCTCACGAGGCTGACTATAAACCAAAACAATTACAGGCAATGTCGAGACAACAATTGAGCCAGTGCATGATAAAACTCACCTTTGACTGACTCTTGGCTTTCTGTAGGGCGGTCTTATACTTCTCTGCTTCTTCGAGGGCACGATTCAATCTGTAATCAAGATAGTGCTAGCTCAAGTTAAGATCAAAGACAAAGATGAACTTCGTAACAATGGATGAACGGATGCTGATTTATCATTTTGTAAAATGAATGGATGAACTTTGTGACAAAGTTCATCCATTCATTTAGCAGAAATACCTACCTGTAAACCGTCTTCAACTTGGCCTAACGTTTTACCTCGACGTTGATTTTTGGCAACAGTGTTTTGAAACAAGGCTTACAGCTAAAACTCAAAACTTTTCTAAATCTCTAGTGTACTAAATGCATAAAAACCGCGATTTTGGTTGGACTTCGTTTAAGTAACCAACGCTTCGAGTTTCCGCTTAGCATTCGGCATCGGGTATAAAGCTCCTAACGTTTTGAAGGAGTGCTGAAGGACTCTTTCTACGGAACCCTCACCTTACTTCAGTGACATTTTTGTTTGAAGCTGACTGCTTTTGCTCTCTCTGTATTGAGTCCAGATCCTATATACATACGAAATGATAGGTCTGAGCATTGAGTTAATTTCCAGTGCACTAAGCCATAAAAATAAGAATTCCTGTGCCATTCAGGCACTTAGTCCATATAAAACGTACAATCGAAGATGGAGCGTGTCGACTCCCGTAACTCGAATCTTCAATAATTGAACTGAAAGGTTTAGAGGAACCAGGAAAGAAGAAAAATGACCGCTTATAGAGCAAAACACTTCAGATAAAGTTCAATGCAGTTGGGTGAACCTTACACTGGGAAAAAGTGAAATACCTTCCACAAGTCTTGTGTAATGGCACGATAGGACAAAAATAAATAGCTGCTTCAAAACAGTTCCGAGTTCAATTTGCACTACGATACTGTCTGTTTTGACTACTCAGTTTCAGGTTAACTTATTAAGGAAATGACCTGAACAAAGTGTGATCACTGGTTCGAGTTTGCGGAAATACGTTAAATCATGGTTTCCAGTTACCGAAGGAATATCAGTAGATAATACTTGGCACTATGATTTCGTACGAGGTAATCGAGTGAGCAGTAAACTGTACCTACTGTCAAATTAGAGAGCACTAATAATATAACTGTAAGAATTCTACGGGCTCTCTCTCAATAAGACATTGTGACTTTATTATGCAACATCTTTCCTAGTCAAGCAGTAATACCAAACAACATGTTACCTTTCTTAAAGACACCAGTTGTTGTTCAAGTCCATCATTCTTGTGTTTGCAATCATCATAAAGCTTTTTGTACTTGTCGATTTGTGACTATGGAAGCACAATGACAATCTCTTTTCTTTCTCACTGATAATAATGTTGTTAAAGAACATATTCTTTGGTTTCTAAATTAAGTAAGGAGGGCTTTATGGATAGTACAAGGTAGAAACTAAGTATGCATAAGTGCAGGTGGCCACTCAAACATTTGGAGCTAAGTTAAGAAGAAAAATATAACCTTTTGACCTATAATCCTGATACTAATTGTATTTACTGTAAGCCACGTATTTCCTATACTGTTAGCTTTGTTTGAGAGTATTCAGTGAAAGAATATCTTTAAATTCCCCTCATCACCCCAGTGTTCTCCTTTTAAGGCAGTAACCGGTCACATTTACCGTCTGTGGTACCTCTTATTACCGTTTAAACTTGCTTGGAATTCTTGAAAACTCAACAGGTAAAAAGATTGCTTTACCGGTTTGAAAATTTATTTTACCTGTCATGCTTAAAATAAGGGAGAACACTGGTGTCACCCTGTATCTCACAAATCCAATTACGTTACAAAGACAAACGACAAATTGGTCTTTCTTAGAAGTAACAGGGTTAGAGAGTCTTTGTTACTGGGCATTTTGACATACTAATATGAAAGGAGGAAAATATGAAAAACCAGGATGAAAAGAAATAAAGTGTTACCCTAAATGCATACATAGCTTGAGGTTTGTGATGGTGTAGCTGCAGATGGACTAGCTACAAACCTGTAATCCCTGATTTGTTTTTTGTAATCTGCCCTGTTCCTCAGTCATTTCCTTGACCTTCTTCTCTATTGCTGATTTTTTCTCATCCTAAAAGACACAGAATGATGCAAATTTAACTTAAACATCATTAAGAGATTCTCTCATTAAGTAGGGTGTGTACAACTATTAAAAGGTAAAAACTACTGAGGACATTACCAATGCTTTTCACTTTGCCACCTTTTAAGATAAGTTTTGAGGCTATTTAACACTCTTTGCAAAATAAAAAAAGATGCAAATGCACAACAAATATAATCTATAACATCACTGAGAAACACACTTATTAAATGGAGTGAGTACAGAGATTTCTGGCTAACGATCACCAGGAATATTCTAAAGGTTTGTCATATTTGGCCTTTTAATACCAATTTGAGGCATTTGCACCCTTTTTGCGTGATTAAGAGTGACATTGTCCAAAACATTTGCCTGTAGAGTATGTACATCATGGGTAAGCCAGTTATAAGTATTTACCTGCAAAATATTTGGCTGCCATCTTGGATGTTTAGGGCAGAGTTAGTTTAGGTTTGGTTAAGGAGAGAGGTAGAATTGCCAAAGGGGAGGGGGGGTGGACTATAGATAAGGGACACCCTTCTCCCATGGGTGGCACTTTGTAATGTAACAAGATGCCTGCACTCCAAGCTATCCAATCATCTCTTTAAATAATATTGGATACCAACTTCATGTTTTTACCTTTTTGTTACATTCCTCCACAACTCTGTCTAATTCTTCTTGCATAACTCTCAGTTTTGCCTTAAGGAACCTGATTTTAGCTTCTACAATTGCAAAAAAGTGTATTGATATTATTAGAGACACTATGATAATCCAGAGGCTAAAGGTTAATTTTGTAACACCAATTATAACATACATCATAACTCAGCTCATAGGAACCGAGTTCTTGGCCCTTATCTGCTGTATTGGTGGCCATTTCAAAAGTTTCTAGTTAAAGAAGTTTCTGGTTAAATAAGCCCTAATGCAGCTAAAACAGCTAAAATCAGTGGTAAAAGTAACCACAAAAACAAATTTAAAACAAGTATTGATTACTCATGATCCCATGATCTCCCAACCTAGAAAATTGTGTCCAAAGTCATGGTATACAGTACAGTGTTTCTACTGAGAAAATTTGTCTAAACAGCACCCCTTGCTCTCAAAATGAAACATCAAGATGGCTTATTTGTTAATGGTCTGCATGGAAAGACAAAAAAAATAATAAAGAAGAAATTTATCTAAATTCTACCTCCATTTGTAAGGTGAATACATTGTTTACCTGATCCCATCTCCTCAGCACCAACTGGCAAAACACTGTTGTCAGTTGTAGTTGTAGTATAATTATTGTCTTGGGCTTCATTCTCTAGCGTGCTGATTGTGTTTGCCAGAGTTATCCTATCCTGAAGCATATCAATTGGGTCATCAGAGGGTACAGGAGTGTGAGGTACACTTCCAGGTGCTGATGCTGTTTTAGATTTTGGCCTAAGGTAGAGATACAAATTAGAGAAATTATTGTAAGTTAGTAAAATCTTGTTACTAAATATTCTACTAAAAGTACATTTGTGAAATTGCTTGCTGATCAGCAAGTTGATGTAATTTCAACTTAATAGACATAACTTCTTAAATGTACCTTTATTTGTCCAACATCATCAAACAATTTTCTGACTAATGTGCCGATTGAAAACATCTGAGGTGGCAAAATATAAACACTACATAGAGTGTACAATTTGGTAGTTTTCTCCCAATCTTACTGTGTGTAAAGAAAATTTTAAACTATTGAATTTAGCTATTTTGTTCATTTAAAACCATACCAGCCATTGTGAAATTTAGCCATCAAAAATCTGTCTGCAGCTTTGTTACTGTTAAAAGTTGATTATCAAGCATAGTCTGATTGCATGGATGCATGCATGCTAACTCTGCTACTTGGCACTACTAGGGATCTGCAAAGAAAAGTGCTCTGTACATGGCCAAAACTAAAGATTCAATCTGCTGAATCAGTGACAGAGCAAAATATTGAGCTATATAATGTCAGGTTGAATTTTTTTTTTAAATACAGAAAATTGGGCCATCATCGAATAATAGTGTTGTCAACCAGAAGTCTTTGATCAAACATCATCAAAACACTTAGTCATGTTTATTTATGTAAGCTAATTAAGCTGAGCATGGTACAGGCAGCACATTGGCCATGTTTACCTAGTTTTCTTTGTTCTTGAAGTGGGTCTTCTTCCCTGTTTGCCTGCTGCACTACTCACAGGCCTTATCTGTGTCGTAGTTGTATTACTGCCCACAGGTTTCTGAAATAAACAGATAAAAAAATATTGACTAAGGTTGAGAAAAATATTGTGACATCAGTGATGAGGAGATACATTTGCAAATGCACCAAAAAGGTACCTGTTTTAAGGCTGATGATGGTGGTATATCCACATTCGAAAAGTCCATTGATGGAAGCAGATCTCTGAGAAGGAAAAAGAAAATAATAAATAAGTGTTCTCTAGAGGCACCACCAGCCTCCATTTTCAATTCCTACTTGTTCGTGTCTGAAGCACTAACTACTTGAATATGAAAAAACAGAAATGCCTGCCTTGATTTGAACAAAATTTTAACTCTACCTTCAGTTTTGTTTACACCCAAATATTTTCATTAAAACTGGAGAGACAATAATAAGTACAAGCAAAAGATGCCTTAGGAACAAATGCTCATACCCTAATTTACTTACTCCAGATTTTCTGATAATTCTGTTGCAGTAGGTCTGGAAAGAAGCTCATCTTGGTCATGCTGGCATGTATCCATAAAAAACAAAACTTGTCAAATGTAAATTCAAACTACCGGTATCTCTAATTCTTTCTAAGATGGGGGTAAAATTCAATTTAAGCTGGGCAGCGGTTTTACACTTGTGATGGAGAGGGGGCCCAGAGGGACACCGCTTCATTTTGCTATGACAGTACAGGTGTATGTCAGCTTTGTGATGAAAGGTGCATGGGGGTGGGTTCTGGTTTGGTTGCCATGGTGGTGTCCTTGTTGCAGGAGAGCTGCCTTCCTTTTCCTTTCTACCTCTCTCTCTATTTTTGCCCTCCAAGCACCTGCATGTACACCTACATGCACCTACATGTACACCTACATGTACACCTACATGCACCTAAATATACACCTACATGCACCTACATGTACCTTATGGTGTAAGGGAAGTGCTTCAAATTAAGTTAAACATAATTTCCTTAGCCACACTGTAATTTCAGTAAAAGAGGTATCTTTTGTTATGTGAATTGGGGGCATAACTTTCTATTCCATAAATGCTGAAATATGGTTTAGGAACTTTTTCCCTATTCTTTCATTGAGAAGGTAAGGCTTACAGTACTTTTCCATGCAGTTTCTTTTATTTTATTTTAGTTCTATCTTTTAAACAAGCAAAGGAATTATTGTAGATAGGACACTGGAACCCATTTGTACCTTTCTTTTATCAGATTAAGTAATAAAATCATGTGACTTCTGAGATTGGAATTCCACTCGTCTTGATAATATGGAATAGAGTCTAAAAAATCTCAGAATAGTGTGGAACTCCCAATTTCACTCAAGTATAAAGTCTTTGGAAGTGGAATCATCAGGGTTGTAGCCAAGGCTCAACATTCAAAAATAAAATTGTCAAAATACATGGAGACTCAATCAAAATGTCAGTTATACATATCCCATGGGTCAAAATGGGTCTAGGGTCAAGATACTCCAAACACAGTTGAATCAATTTTGAGCTCTCCTTTGTTTAACATAAGTGTTGCAGCTTAAAATGATTCCAGCTCAAAATAATTTCAGAGTGCTTAAAAAATAATGCAGTTTTCTTTTTTCAAGGATTACATTACTATATGTCAACCTAAGAAATCAACTCAAACAAGTTTGAAATCATTTTGAACTGAAATTCATTTTACTATACCATACTTTTCCATAATCTGAAAATAAAGGAAAATGAATATAGTTTGAAACCATCCAAACTTAAAAATTCCCCTTCAACAGTAAAATATAAAATGCAGACTGACATATATAGAAGGTGACTCATACAGTAACATGATAATACTATAACTGCAGTAAAGGTTCCAAAATTACCATCACTTCCTCTGCTTCTTTTATCAGACTTGCAGTTCTTTCCTCTAATTCAGCATTGAGTCGCCTTTATGTCAAAACATGGCAAGTAAGCATAAATTCACAAACATACAGAAGTTTGTGTGGATAATTAATTTTTTTCCTCTGCATCTACCAACCCCACAACTCTCAGGATCTCATTAGTAATTCTCCTTACTATTGGCCATATGATTCTTTTGACGAGAGTTTGGAGATGTAAGGAGAAAATCTGCTTTGGTCACTCATGAGAATTTAAGGGTTGAAACTGAGGCTTTCTTTTCCAGTAATCAGAGAAAGATTTTCAAGAAAGCTTCCAATAAAGTACAACAATAAAACCCTTGCTCATCCCTCAATAATATAAATTTATCTACCAAAAATTCCCACCTCACTGTCTATCCAGCCAAATTTTGATATTAAATTATTACAATTAGATTTACATTCTAAATTTCATTTAAAATCAAAGCAGATGACCACGACTTAATTTTGGAGAGAAATTGTTTATGTCTAATCTACTAATCTGTAAATTGTATCTCAAACGTTTGAGTTGGGATATAGGTATTTCTTTCGCCTAACCCTCCATCCTAGGTTCTTTCAGGAATAGGATCAAAACGATGGGGGACACGACCGTCGTGTATCTTATCGTGTATTCTGAAAGGAACAGCGACAGATAGGACTACTCAATGTAAACAGTGTGCTTTTAAGTTGCTGTTATTTATGTTTGTGTGCCTTGCAGGGTCATAAAAGTAGTTGGGCACTGCTATTACTTAAGAAAGACGCCTTATACTGACATGTACTCCTCTTCCTTGCTCAGAAGGCCCTGTGCTATATTCTTTGTCTTTCCAGAGGGTGGCTTTTCCATACTTGACGATCTTGGGAAACTTCCAGAAAATTTTCGACCTCCATTTGAAGAAGCTGAGGAAGATCGC